CTCATCATTTAAGTTTTAACAATTGCGAATTCCTGGTTTCATTGTGTAGATCGAAATGAATGGAAACAAGGGTTCAGAGCTCTCGAGCAGGTGTTAGGTATTATCAGGTTATTTTTTAGACTTTTATTTGGCCATTATTGACTGTCTAATTTCAATGTACGTAATGGATGTGCTCATAATCCATATTTTATCAGGATTACTGATAGTTTCTTACTAATTTACACCGTCTTTGAGACTATTTACTCTACTTTAAAATTCCTTCAATGCAGTCTGGAATAGCTTGTCCAAGGTGTTCACTTAGGCTAAATAAAATATTCTTCGAACCAGAAGATTTACTAGTAGTGCTAGACATTTTTCTGCCAACTTAGTGAAAACATGAATAATATAAATGAGTAAATCTGATGTAATAATACAATAACAATCCATACTGAGTGGTTCAAATTAGGTATTTTCTTCTGTTTTGTCAAGGTTCTGGTTAAATTGGAACTATTCGTATTTCAGGTTCACATTTGGCATCGATTCACAAACGAATTCGAAGGAGCTGGGTAAATTACCTATCAATTTATCATCACTGGAAGTAGAAGAATATTCAGTGTCTGGATGCTTGGTGTTTGTCACATGACGTTGAAGAAGATTGAGTTTCGGTTCATTTCATGAATGCAGTTGGGATAGAAGCTTATAGTTGGGTAAAGAACCTTACATATCCGGTAAAACATAAGCTTCTTTCCTTTAGTAAACTCAAGAAATTATTGAGTGATCATTTTCGTGCAACAATATTCAAAACAATGAAAGCATCACAGTTCAACAAGTTAGTTTGTGCTATGACTCAGGCAATCTGGGATTTAACACTAGAAGTGTACAAGCGGTGTTGGTGCATAGCTGCAAATCTAACTATGTCACCGTCTGAGTTCTGGAATAAATGATAATACAAATTCCTTTTTGCACCTTTTAGATGACCGAAGACTTCTGCCCTACTTACAAAGATGCTAATAATGATTCACGTTACGTTACGAAGCAACATGACATTTTATTATCATTTGTGAATGAATCTAATATGATACAGAAATCACAGATTTCTTCCAACAAAAACAGTTCCATTTCATTGAGGCAAGTGAATAACTTGAATGGTACTTTTAATTCGCCTCTGTATGTCGAGCCTTGTTTTTGATATGGTAAATTGTATCTTCGTAGTTCATGCCAGTTTCGTTATGCACGTTGCCGAAAATGTGGAAAGGTTTGACAGAAACAAAAAGTATGTGTAAGTTCCAAGTCATGATACTGGGTCAAAACCAAATGATTTGAACAAAAGAGTGTGTTGGGGACTCACTTGGAAAAGGTCCTAATTTTGTAATTTATTTTGAAATTTTTGAATTATTATGTTTTCGCGTCAGAGACAATTGGTTGACCTTCAGCTTACTTTTCCCAATCGGAAAATCCTTGACTGTCACAGGCTGATGGATTATTTTAGTACTCTATTTTATGGCTCTCACTAAAGGCGCTTTATTAATCGTATAAATAAGCTTGAGTTGTGTGCTCGGTTACCTCAACCTTTCTGGGTGCCTGTAGAATACATTCTTTACGTCTTACCAAGACTTCTTGCTCTAGTAATTGGGGCCTCGAGCAATCATATCGCGTCACTCTATCGTCGATCTCCGTTCCGTTTAGCGAGTAAGGTGAACTCGTAATACCTGCGAGCATATCAGAGTGGAATCATTTTCGCTTCCTACAGCTTACAGTAGTACATTGAGTATATAAAAAATTAATTACCAATACGGAACAAATATGTTGCACAAAAATCATGTCTCTCAGTCTAATTAACCATGATGTCAAATACACACAAAAAAGTATAAACCTCAAAAGAGAACTCATTTAACTAACTAAATTTCTAATTGTCACAAAAGAAGATATTAAGATAATGAGGATGAACTAATTCGCATCAGGTACGTCAAGATCAACAAATTGAATGAAAGACGGAACATATCTGAACCAAAGAAGTCTTTTTTGTGTTATCCCATCTAAAATCCTTTATCATTCATTTTACCGAACTTAGCATCTACAGGCAGCTTTAATAATGCTACCCCAAAAGGATAAAATCAACAGATACTTCTATACAGATCAGAATCATGTTGTCCTCTAGTTACCACTGGTTTTTTCTTTAACTACCATTTTAATTAATACTGCGAAGACCGAAAATGTTATTGCAGCCAATCCAATTATAACAAATATTTTAGTGAACAGTTAGCAACTCTGAAACGGTCGTAAATTCTGTGTTTCCCAAAAACAGAACAGAAACAATCAAACCAATCAATATTTCAAAATTTAATCCAAATTAATGATTGGAATACAATCCTGATAAACTCTGGTTTCGTTTGGTCAGTATTGATTTACAGAAATTTCACACTTTTCATTTTAATAGGAAACAATTAAATGAATAATAAAATGGTATCCAGAAGATTAAAAGTTCTCCTAAACTGTTTCAAAATTATCCTGATCATGATTCGTGAGTCTGATTCATTTACAATTTAACTCATGCCTCCTAAGATACTTAACCCGACCGCTTTGGAAGCCAATGGGTGAGAAGGTTTAGAAGCTATAATATAGAAAAAGAAATAATTTGTGCGCAGCTCATGTGTTTATGAATATATTGCTGATTGGAATGAAAATGTGTGGACGGTGAGTGACCTTGACTATATGAACAATTAACTTTCATCAATGGCAAGCTTGGTTCGTTCCACATACCTCCCAGCGGAGAGCAGATGTTGATCAGCACGAACTTCAATGAACGTTTCATAAATGTATTCAGCCATTTCAATAGTTCTAAGTGGATATTTGTCACAAACTCACATTAATTTATAAACTGAAACGCTTGTGATAAACCTGATTGAACTCAATCAATCAAAAGCACGGTACATTTTATCATCAAAAATATTATAATTCACAACTGATTGATATGGACCGTTATTTAGAAGTAATAGTACTCATCACCACAAATGATTGATGAACTATCCAATAACTTCAAAATATTCTGTCAAAGTGTAGTATCATTTAGAATTTATTAGGTTATAATAATTAGGGTGGGACGTGAAAAACAGTCAGTGACGTCAAAACTGTGTATCTCACTCAATACTCAGTGAACTTTATATCCAGTGTTATGGTGAGCGTCATGTGTGTCCCATGAAATAATGGCAGTTGACCATTATCGTTCAAACGCTAATTGTAGTAAAGGAAATGAGTTTGCGTCTATAATTCATCGATTGCAAGTCAACTGTTGAAATCATTGAGGTGCAACTTTGCAAATAAAATACACACAGTTCAAAGACGATTTGTTGAAAGAAATCACTACAGTATCTTAGACGTGAGTCAATTTCCTACAATTCTCACAGGATGAAAGAGAGAATTACTGAATAATGAAAAACACTTTATTTACGCATTTATTACATTAAAAATAATACATACATTGACATACATTGTTGTTACGATTGTTGTCGACGCTTGCGAACAAATAATTTTTTAAGCATTGGAATTCGCAAAATGTTTAGAATCTTTGCAAAACCTTTGAGTTTCTTCTCATCAGATTTGTCAGAGGATACCACTGAACTTTGCGTATTCATTCTGAAATATCGAGCATTGATATTTTCTTTCTCTTCATCTGTTGAATACTGTTCAAAATCTACTTCAACCGACATCGAAAACATTGGTGTACCACATATCAAACATACATGATCCAGTGTTATTTGACATAGACGACAATAATAAACACCACATTCTACACAGCGTGTGAAATTCTGTTTAAATTCAATTTTCTTTGCTGGATTCCCGTCACTACCACAAAACGCACACATGACACGTCGAATTCCGAATAACCGAAGAACATATGCAAGACGTGGATTACGACTTAAAAATCTCCCGATTCGTGACAACTTTTGCGATCGATGCTTCTGTGTGATATCGATCGTTCGAATTTTGTGCAAAACACGACTGTACAAACCACGGTTACTTCTTATGTGTATGCGAAGCCAGGCTGCACGCTTAGCTGCTCCCTTCGGATAGTACCATATCATGATGACATGTCGTAAACGCATAATATACACCTGCGAAAACAATCATAGTTTCGTTAAAGTAATAATAACCATTGAACAAAAATACCAGAAATTGTTTCGTGCATCAATGGCAGTACTAATTATCTCGTCTATGTCAGCACTAAGTAGAGTGACAAGTCTGAGTAGAATAATGTTTATTCTTTAGCACCAGACGAGATCTTGACAAATGGATCTTCTCACATTGATTCTGTGTGATTGGCTGCCTTACAACATGAGAAGGGAATAACAGAGATGTAGAAATGGTAAGAACTTGATAGTGCAATGTTGTGATTTGTTTACCACTAACTACTTCATGAATGTGCATCATGACTTGATTTGGTAAACTGTAGAACTGTTGAATTTTACAATGGCTGACCAGTGTATGCATGTGATTCGGCGAGAACGTTTAACCCTTAGGACATCTTCATTGTTAGCTTTAGTTTGATCTAATTCGATTGACCATTTTATGTCACTGATGGTTGGATTTTTTTTAGGAATTTTAAGCTCTAACTATTAATGCCACAACGTTTTAGGAAATGTGGCTCATCATTTCAAACGATTATACAAACAAACCCATACTTATGGTAAACTACTGACAGTAGACGTTAGTATACTGAACGTTTATAGACAGTTTGAATTTGAAGCATCATATGAAAAGGTGGCTAAGTTCACTGTTGTATCAAACTGTACACTTAACGAATCTGTCAGAAATTCTGTAAACTAATGACAAAACATTTTTTTTTTTTGTAGTTTCAAGTCAATCGACAACCAATATATGCTTTTGTTTTGTATCATTTATCTAAATCTTCTAAAAAACACTGATTACCACCACCATCTGAATTTGAGACTGTTATTTAAATTTAAATCATGCAAAAAAAATAAAAAATAAATTCACTCACTTGAAAAATAATACTTAAAAATGATACACCTAATAATAAACATATGGTACCATATGTATAAAAATTTGGTGAAGTCAGAGTTGGTTGACAAATGCTTGCATCGACATTTAATGCAATATTTTTCAATGGATTCATTAAATTCATTAATGCTTGTATAATACTAGCAAATGATGAATCACTATCAATGTATAAATCATTCATTTCACCTTCATGTGTACGTTGATGGTCTTCAACATAATTTTCCACATCAGAAATATCATATGAAAATAAAACTGAGACAATATTAAAAATTTGATACATTGCATAATCATTTAGCATAATTAGAATAATTGAAGTACTCCATGTTAAAAGCATTAGTGTAGTGAATGCTGCCGTTTGTTTTTCGGATGTAGTCCAAGTAAAACTCCATAATGTCTTGTATTGACTTTTTTCTTTACCAATTAATGGGACTGTAGGTACTAAGCCACGTTTAAAGGCTTCTACTTCCTTAAAATTAAAAAAAAAGGTCGATGAAGTGAAAAAGGCATTGATTATAATAATGTCTGTGAATAAATAAAATTCAAACCAGTAACTATTGATAATTCACTAGATAAAAATAAATAATTGACACTGTTTGTCAAAGCTTAGAATATCTATTTTATTTACAATTCAGTCAGTGAACATTAACCCGTTGCCAAACGACAATCTCTCATCAATAATAAAGTGTTTTATTAAAAAATGCTCCGTATATCTAGTAAAATAAATTATACAGAGTTTTCATTGACTGTGTGTACAGTGTTGGATCCAACGTTACTAATTCCTAAAGTATATATAACAAATCATATTTTCATTCCAAATTGATATTTTAGATTTCAAGAATTCTTTATTCCTAAGAAAATTATTAATCGCTAATATCTTTACTATTTATTTATTGTTAGTTCTCAAATGAGATTGAATCTACGAGACAGTGGAAATGTTGATGAACATCATCGATATATATATATTCTGAAAGGTCCGACAAACTGGTAATTATGTAATGGCATTCTATCAATATCATCAAGTAATCTTCCAGTATAACCTTGTTATTATTGTTACGCAAGTTAACAGATCCTGAACTAATGAAATCGATTTGAATTTAGATTTGAAAAAATTGTCCCTACTAAAAGCGATTATTTCTCATATCCAGATAATCAATTTAATAATACTTGAAATTCGACTAGAAACAACGAATACTATTGGTGTTTTTGCCTAAGCTTTTCTGTGTCAACTATTCACTGTAGGTTGATTTCGAGGCGATAAGTTGCCTAGTTTGTACTTAGAAACTTTGTCATAATTTATTGTTGCCTTGTCATTTCGTAAATTTTGTAAAGTTATTAACTCCAGTGCTTTAAAGAGTTGAATATCCTAACTTTAGGCTAGGTTTTTGTAGATTATTCATATAAAACTATTCACTGTATAGTATTGATGTACTTTGTGATTAAGAAATAAACTAAAATGAAAGCTGAACTAAGAAACTATGTCAGTACAACAAAAATTGTGTAAAATTAGCGTAATCGATAAGTTGCATAGCATATATAGAATATATAGAATTCTAACATATTTACAACTTACTTGTTTAATAAATTCTTCGGTTATATAAAAGTTATCATATGCGGATCTTGTTAACCATATCTTTTTAAATATAGCTGCTTGTACAACTAATAGAAACATGGTGAAAAGCGTCCATGCCACTAAAACCCAAGATAATATAGATTTCACGGCATCAATTGTTCGTACAAAATTATCCATTCTTTGTTTAAGTTTATTTGATATAGTATTTTCAAAAACAACTCCTTCTATTTCACTTACATTTCCAAAAATTGTTACGTTTTCATTACCAATCAAATTGATTATGTCACCGTGTTGCTTCATTAAATCTGTTTTTGTTGTAATATCCAGTGTATCTACAAGTACTGAACTTTGTTTTTTGCATAAAGATGTCAATTTTTCAGATGCAACACAAGTATCTTTGGCAAAAAATCTGACAAATTTACAAAGCATCCTAAAAATACCTAAACTTTTAGTACAACTGAAGTAAATGTTGTTAAAAAAAGCCAAACACTGATTTATCAAAGCGACTTTATCTCCACATGCTTCACTTAACGAGCGTGTCCAACTGGATTGACTTTTCATTACATTAGTTAATCGTATAATGGAAAAAGTAATTTTAGATAATAAGTTTTTCAAATGATTCAGAATAGTGTTAATGCCGCTAACAATATTTCCTAATTGATCTTTCAGTACATATAAAGGTGCTTGAGTTAATTTCTTCAATAACATCATATTTGTGTTCACTTGTGCTATGATACAAGCAATGGAATTGCGGAAATTACCTGAATTATGTAGGAAATTTAAAACTGGTCCACTAAATGACATCCCAGTTACATAGATTAAAATTGCCCAGCGTAAACGTGTAGCAATTAAATATGGAAATGTTAGTAGTGTGATACATTGAAAATCTCTAGAGAATGCTAAACCAAATACACTTACTAACATGATGTAAGCACTTATTATTGTGGATATATGTGGATTCCCTGAAAATGTAATCATGAATAAGAAATATGTCATAAAGCCTAGACTTAGGCCAAATATCAAGCCTAAAATGCTTTTAACGTAGGTTCTCTCTAAGTTCTGATATGATTTTTTTTTCGGTTTCTGAAAGAATGTGATTTGAACACGATATCTACGAAGAAACCTCCAACATAAATGACACAAATAAAACAATGGCATTAGTAGATATGGTGGTCTCTCTAAATTATATAAAGCGGCTCTTATTTGTCGTTCATCTAGTTTCACTGAATGGACTTGTTCATTTTTGAGTAAAGAGTCTTGTTCTTCTTTTCTGTTCCATTTTTTTTCTTTTCCATGAGTTTGATTTTCGCCAACTTTTTCTTTGTTTGTAAGTTGTGCAGTTATCTTCGGATTGTCAGTTTTTCTAGCGCTTACTTCCTTTTGATTCATTTTGGTTACTATTTTCACCTTTTTAGTTTGTCTTGCTTCATCCTCAGAAGTAGGTTGTCTGACGTCCTCAATTCTCGTTCTAGCTGGAACTACATTATTCAAATTCTTGCTCATTAGTGAACACTGGCCACTGAAAGGATACTAAAGTTTCTTTTTCCGTTTGTGACACCAAGCGGAATCAGTTGTATGACGCTTGTGCGTTTTCTCACTGTTTAATTCTTTTTCAGATGAATTAAAGTTATAATCACTTGGCTATCAATATGCATTTAGAGATATTTTTGCGAATTTATGCTTAATAACAGAACTGTTTAAAATCAGAAAATCAATAACTAGCAGTTAATATGATCAATCATCTGATATGTTTGGCTTAAACCATACAGTTAATGAGAAGAATCGTAAATCCTAGCGATTTTATTTAGAATGCCATGAAATATTATTTCGGACAATAATTTCCTATATATGATAGCTGTAGTTAGAAGGAATTAATTTTCGATGGTTTCAGTTTCAAATAATACTGTAGTTTTATTTGCATTCAGAGAAGGGATTGAATAACAGCAGCAAAATCCATGAAATATTTGTTTATCTGAAATTAGTGGTCTTTATATATTGTTTACATTAAAAACATAGGTTTCAAACTTCAATGGATGTAACGTTCCAGCTGAATGGAGAATTTTATCTTGTTCAGTAACCTCAATCAGAAACAGTATGAAGTGGATAATTATTGTTGAGACTACTATGAGATAAATTAAAAGACAGCTTATACATAAATATACAGGTTAGAAAAACCAGTTACTGGTGTTGAAGATGAAGAGAAAGAAAATATCACTGCTCGATATTTCAGAATGAATACGCAAAGTTCACTGGTATCCTCTGACAAATCTGATGAGAAGAAACTCAAAGCTTTTGCAAAGATTCTAAACATTTTGCGAATTCCAATGCTTAAAAAATTATTTGTTCGCAAGCGTCGACAACAATCGTAACAACAATGTATGTCAATGTATGTATTATTTTTAATGTAATAAATGCGTAAATAAAGTGTTTTTCATTATTCAGTAATTCTCTCTTTCATCCTGTAAGAATTGTAGGAAATTGACTCACGTCTAAGATACTGTAGTGATTTCTTTCAACAAATCGTCTTTGAACTGTGTGTATTTTATTTGCAATGTTGCACCTGAATGATTTCAACAGTTGACTTGCAATCGATGAATTATAGACGCAAACTCATTTCCTTTACTACAATTAGCGTTTGAACGATAATGGTCAACTGCCATTATTTCATGGGACACACATGACGCTCACCATAACACTGGATATAAAGTTCAGTGAGTATTGAGTGAGATACACAGTTTTGACGTCACTGACTGTTTGTCACGTCCCACCCTAATTATTATAACCTAATAAATTCTAAATGATACTACACTTTGACAGAATATTTTGAAGTTATTGTGTAGTTCATCAATCATTTGTGGTGATGAGTACTATTACTTCTAAATAACTGTCCATAGCAAACTCTTGCGGACGATCATAAGTTTGATGGTGCACAGAATTTATCTATTGGGAGTAAAGTTTTCAATAATATTTAGACCGATTTTTTCTGTTTTGTTTTTGGGAGCCATAGAATTTGTGACAGCTCGTTAGGATATTCATCGAATATCCTAGGAGAATTACTGGTCACTTCCTATTGGTTAGTTTCTTCTGGTCAACTTAATGATCTTCCTAGATATCAGTGTCACGTGCCACAATGTTGTTTCTTATTGGTCGTCCTGAATTTCCATGTCACTTCGAATGTTGTTGACTATTGGTCGTCTTAACTGTCAGTGTCATAGACTTCGATGATGTTTCCTATTCAACCTAAATGTATAAATATGCATTATCTGTAGTCCGGGATCCTGATTCTCTTCTGGACTCTTACTTTCTGGATGCTTGTAGAATACAGGTTCTATTTCATATCAAGTCGGATTGAGTAGCATGTCGTGTCTACGGATCCTTGATCCTCGCTCTCGTATTGAGACTAAGGCAAACTCATAATAGTTCAAGCATATCAAAATGACGTGTTTACGTGCATGCGTAACACAGTTGGTGGTCGCTAGAAAATATTCATTTTCAGCTGGATAGAAGTTGATGATACTTAAATCATGAAGTATGTTACGGGAAGTGTTTCTTGTTGAAAGCTTTACAAAAGATGACAAATTAATGGATTATTGCTGGAAATAAATTGTAGTGGAACGCTTCTACGAAGAAAATACGATTTGTGAAAAATAAACATTATTGTTCTCATTTTGTTTAACTGTACCAAAAACACTTCTTTCACTTCTTGAGCGCAACGCTCTCTTCGCGTTGCTGCCATCTTTCTCTATTTGCTGTTCCCGATTTAATGCCTACTGTCTCCTTAAATAAAACCTTGGATCATGGATTTGTTATTATATTCGTGACGCGACCGCATAGTCAATCTGGTATCTGGATTCGCTCACTACAAAATCATCAGATTATGTTTATTTCAGATGGCGAACTCAATTTATATTTATCATTTATCTAATGGAACAGGATGAATACTACTTTGTTTTGCTGATAGTCAACTTATCTTTTAGATCTGACGTTAATGTTAAGCGTTTCCTATTGTTTCCTCATTTCCGTGATTAGTTAGCTACAAAATTGAGGAGTTAATAAATGGCGAAATGGGTTACTCCATTTTTGCCGTACAGTAATTGGAAAATGCGATACTTATGGCTACTTGTTAGGATGTTAGTTGTAAGTGTACATAGGTAAAAATAATAATCACTAATGTTTTGAAGATTGATCTTTAGAAATATTTACACTAATGAAATCTAATTATCTGTTTCTTCAAAATGTTCAAGTATCAGTACTTACTCATGTATTTATTAATCAGAAGAACAGTAATAGTATTAGATATTTTTACCCCAACGACATCATTAACTGGCACTGAACAATACTGCCAACAATTATTTAATACTTTTAGCAAACTGGTGAAAAAATGAATAGTTGTGATGTTATTCACAGAATGTTCAGAATTTTCAGGTATTAAGATAGGGTTATTTAATAATGAACAGATTAAGGAGTAATTGTGATATGTACCCAGTTTACGGATGAAAACCATGAAATCTAGATGTAAGTTTCCGTTGCTATGTTCACTTTTATTCTAATTGTGAACAGAAGCGATGAGATGCTCGAGAATTCAGATGTCAGTTGACTTTCATTTCTCTATTAAGAATTATAAAAATAAACACTCCATGATGAAAATAGAAAGAACACGATATATACTGGCATAAATCTACACATGCAATAGGGTCATCTACGTGGATATATTTACTTCATTAAAAATGACATTCAGTTACTTAAGTTATGTAATGGTTCATTGTTTATCCACTTGATCAGTTCCTCTTAAAGGACTAAATAAGAAAATTTTCAACTAAAACTTATGCGTTTCAAGGTCACTGTTGTTTCAAACTAATTAGAAATTCTAATTACAACTGATCACTGAAAGGTCCAGTGGATTCCTCTGAATAGTTGTTCAGGTTCCAATAGTACTGGCCTTCAGATAACATTAATTTGTCCAAGGAATAAGTTTAAACCATTAGTTCCGATTTTTTATTGAGTGACATTGCTGCACAGAAACATTAGTTTCAATGTGTGGGGCTATTTTATGTCAAGAAGTTGTAGTGATTTCCTTTAAACGAAGAAAACATGAATGTTTAAATAGAAGCGTTCATCATTATAACCAGTTTTACCAGTGAACGTTTTGCCGAACATTCTGTTTATTCGTACTTTGTAACATGCCTTCTTTACAGTCACCATCTTGCTTTCGCTGTTCTGTACCTTCCGCCCATTTTCTCTGGCACGATTTCGGTGTTCTATCGATACCACGAAATCGCCAGTGAATTTACTTGTTTCACCTGTATAATATCAGCCTCGTTTCTTATTAATTCATGACGGGATTGCGTTTGAGATCCGAACGCAATTGGTTCGTAGACGTATCCCTAGTCATCATCGGCTCAAACACTACAAGATAAAGCATCTGTCTTCTTCTGCTCACGTTTATGAGGGGAATAATTCGAATGAGAGTATTTTTACGAATTGTGGGTGATACCACAATATGGATGAACAGCTTAGGCGTAAGGCAGAGAAAATTGGGGTTTTAGCAGCACATTCAGCCATCCATTTGACAGTGCGATTGTTTTAGTAATTGTTACTCTGTAAACTTTGGAATTTGGACGTTCGGATTGATACTGAAACCTAACCCATTTAATTTCGAGTCTCTCGTCATATTTTCATAATTGTTTGAAAAGTTTTAACTTTGTGAGAGGTTGTTTACTAGAACAATGCTTGCTGATATAGGTTGGAAATATGGGTTTTTTAGAGCTAGTTTGTGCGGTTGGCATTTCGAAACTTTCACCGTTATCTACTAGTAAATGGAAAGAAAGAAAAGAGAGGCAGTGTTTGGTATTTTATTCTCTGAAGTCTTATTATTGTGCATGTACTCTTAACGAGTAGAACCATTTGATTTACAAAATGAATGTGACCACCTAATCAATAGATTCATATATGAGGGTAATTGTAGATGAATAGTGAACTATCACTGTATTCTCTGATTGTTTTAAATGTATTGATTAGTGTAAGTAGTTTTAATAGACAAAAAGAAATTGATGGTTTGTTGGTTCACCTGGTTTTTGTTCATATTACAGAACTTGTAAAGGATACTATCAAATAATTTAGAACTGTTATAAGTGCAGTGAAAAGAGTTTGGAATGTTCAGTATAACAGTGGATTCGCTAAGTTTTACAAACAAAGACAAGACATATCACCACATCTTGAAGGTGTAGAATCTATTTTGAATGTTTTGTTTTTTGGAAAATCCCTCCATGTCTATATATTTGTGTTATGATATGACTGACTCTTTCTGTTGACATTTTGGTATTCTATTTGATTCCATTTTGAGATTTTATCATTGTATATTGTTATTATTTCTATATCTTGTACTTATATTGAAGTTTTTATGTTTGCTTCTGAACTGTACATATGTTGTTTAAATTTGATATTTAATATGGCTACAGCCATATTTGGATTTGATACCGTAGCAGTACGGACTGGTAGCACTTATTCTTCCAGAAACGAATACCCATTGTGGGAATTGTGGATTAGAAGGTGTAATATTGTCGGGTAATTGTCTGTATTTCCATTTTTATCAAATAAAGACCGTTTTCTCCCAGAACTATTGTGTTT